GACTTCACCACTGAGCTAAAAGGGTGTCTGGGGGCCACACTCTCGGGGTTTCTCCAGTCTCCTTTAGGCCAGTAAATCTGGTCTTTTTTTTGTGAGTTAGAATTATGTTCTACATCCTTCTCCAGCTCTGTCCAGAACCCTGTTTTGATCCTGGTCAGAGCAGTCAGTGCTGGTAGCCAGGCACCATCTAGCTGTACTGGAACCAGTTATCCCTTTTTTTAAAAAAGAGTTCTAGGGAGAGTACACTAGCTAGAGTAGGTCTTCCCACAGCATATAAGCATAATTAGCAGGGAGAGACTAGTGGCTAGCCATACCCTTGAACCACCTAGAGAGGTGAGTGCTTAATGTTTCCTTGTTTGACTCAACAAGAATAGTGAGATGCGGTTATGGATTGTGTCCCCCAAATAGTGTTGTAAACCTTAACCCTTATAGTGGTTACAGTCCCCTTTGGGAATGGGTTTTCTTTATGTTAATGATACAATATTTGTGCAGGGTGTGTCTTAAGTCAGTCTCTTTTGAGATACAAAAGAGATTAAGCAAACAAGTGGAGATGGGGGAAGATAGGCACAAAGTCACATAAAGATCACCAGGGAATGAAAATCTTCCCCCAGAGCTGACAGAGAGAGAAAGCCTTTCTTTAGAGCAGGTGCCCTGAATTTGGACTTCTGGCCTCCTAAACTGCATGAAAATAAATTTGTTAAAGCCTCTGAATTATGGTGTTGGCAAAGAATATTGAATATACTATGCACTGGCAGAAAAACGGAACAAGTCTGTCTTGGAAGAAGTACAGCCTGAATACTCATTAGAAGCAATGATGGCAAGACTTCGTATCACATACTTTGGACATGTTATCAGGAAGGACCAGTCCGTGGAGAAGGACATTATGCTTGGTAGAGAGGGTCAGTGAAAAAGATGAAGACTATTAACGAGATGGACTGACACACTGGCTGCATCAGTGGGCTCAAGCATAACAATTTTAAGGATGGTGCAGGTCGGGGCAGTGTTTTGTTCTGTTGTACATAAGGTTGCTATGAGTCGGAACCGAATCCACGGCACCTAACAAAGCCACCTACTTGTGGTATTTCTGTTATAGCAGCACTAGATAACTAAGATAGATGCTAATCTTTTAGTTCAATTCCATAAATGTTTTTTCAGTAGCAGTCTGCTGCCCGGCACTGGGATGAGCGTTGAGAAGTTTGATGTAGCCCAGTCCTTAAACTTATGGTTGCTGGGGTTTTTTGGTGTGTGTGTGTGGAGAGATATAGGCACGCTAACCAGTATAAAAGAAGTAGCTGTTTCTGGGACTGAGACAGAAATGAACAGGATGAGCCTGAACATCCTGTCATATCAGTAAGCAAGGAAACAAAGACTACTAGAGTCCTGTCAAAAGGACTTACGAGCAAATGGGAAGAGGCTCCCACAGGGCAAAATTAGAACGATATCAGCATCAATAATTGTACTTCAAAATATATATGTTCATAATGAAACCCAAGAAACCTTATTGGCTTTACCTTCGATTAATAACAAAACCAATTCATTCTAAGAATTAGTAAATAAAGGAAAAGAAGTAAACATTAACCTGCCTTTCCATATAAACTGTATCTTAGGATAACTAGATAACTTGTTATGAGGGAAAGTTTCTCACTTTAGAGGCATTCCAACTAAAAATGAAGAAAAGATGGAAGTACAGTACTATATACCCTTAATGAAATTAGAGATCTAAGTAATGATCATCAGTGGCTGCTAACATCACCAAAGAGCCAGCCAGAATTATGTACGTTCTGATGGAAGAACACACCACCTATTAAATATTCTTGCTAAAAGATTCAATTAGATCAAGTGTGCACAAAGGAATGTGTTAAATGACACAGGGATGTAATCAGCAAACACTAGAATGCAGGAAACTCTACAGGACACATGATCCAGTTTCTTGAATAAATTGCAAAGTGGGAAAAAGAGAAGCAGGGAAACCTATAGATTGAGGTGAGGGCAATATGGCAAGAGGTGTGGAGCTGAGGGGGAGGGTATGAACTTAAGCCAATTAGGTTTTAAGGCAGATTTTATTGAGCTTCTATTTAGGAAATCTATGGTTCTTAACCCTTTTTAGGTTATAGACTCCTTCAACAAACCAGCAAAAATAACAGGCCATTTTTCCCAGAAAAAGTAATACAATCTTGCATTTTATATCAGTGACTTATAGAACCCCCTAAAGTCCACTCATGCGGACTCCCCACACTCATATCCCATCACCATCTCTCCCAATCCCCACCCTCTGGGTCGGGGGACCAAGAATCAGTTTAAGAGCCTGTGTTTTAGGTGAAACATTTTATTTTCCTGATTTCTGTGTTGTCACCTGTAATTATTAAAGGCTAATTCAGTGTTCAGATGCTGCCTCTTTAGGTGAGTAGCTTCCTGACCTGCTGTAGTGAAAACAGATTTGATGACAGCTCACTGTATTAGGTCTAACCATATGAAATTAACAACACTGATCAGATTTGACCTACTGAAACAGCTGTTTCATATGGTTCTACTTTCTGTAATTGCTAAAATAAGACCGCTTTCATGTAATTCACAGTGATGTAGGTGACCCTATAGCTCCTCTGTCCTTGGGCTTGTTTTCACTGAGTTCTGCACTCTGATACTAAAGGCCAGGAGTGAGAGAAAAAGCCCTTTAAAAAAGCAGCCTTAGGACTGAACAGAATAGAGTTGCAGTGATACTCAGTGAAAGGTTTTTTTCTTGAAATTTCTTTCCAAAATTTGGGTGTCTTCACTCCCAATTTTTTCATGCACCATCTGTAAGAAGTTGCTTTTACTGCCCCTTCTTGCTATAGAATCTCTGGTATAAATGTTATACTTAAAAAATTAAGCCACCCTCACAGATTACTTTTTAGAACCCCACTGCCATCAAGTGGTTCTGACTCATAGCAACTTTCTTATAGGACAGAGTAGAACTGCTCCGTAGGGTTTCCAAGGAGCGGCTAGTGGATTCGAACTGCCAACGTTTTGGTCAGCAGCTGTGCTCTTAACCACTGTGATTACTTATTAGGGTACCTTTATAATGAAATATAAATCAAAGCAATACTGAAACAAATTAACATCTTATTCTCTGTAGTAACTGATGCACTAAGGACACACCACCTGTGTAGTATTCCTACCAATAATGTGTGACCAGACTGAGTACAAAGGAATAACCAAATTCAAACAAGGGGTATTCTGCAGAACAAATCGCCAACATACCCTTCAGAAACGTCAAGGTCGTGACAAAAAAGGCAAAGAAACTTTTTAAAGGAAACACAACTGTCATGTGTGATCCTTGAGTCAATTAAGAAAATTTAAATATGGATAGTATATTAGATAATAGCATTGTATCTAGTTAACGTTCCTGATTTTGATAGTTTTGGGGAGAAAGTCCTGTGCTTACAAGATAAATACTGAAGTATTTAGGAGTGGAAGTGTCATGATGTTCAAGGGGGGAAAAAAACACGTACGCGTGTGGGTGCAAACAGTTTGTGCTCAACCTCTGGCCTAACGGTTGGCAGTTTGAACCTACCCAGTGGCAAGGCAGAAGACCTGGCAATCTGTAACACTAAGGGTTGCCATGAGTTGGAATGGCATCGGCTATTTTTTTTTTTTTTGGTGTGTATACATAAAGCAAATGTAGCCAAATGTTAATTGGTGAATCTAGGTATAAGACATGTCTACTCCTATTCTCAGAATTTTTTAAATAGGTTCGAAAATTTCAAAACAAAAAGTTTATGAAAAAATATAGGTAAATAGCATAATTTTCTTAAGGTTACATAGAATGAGTTGGCAATAGACTTGGACTCTGTATCCAGGAAAGTATAAATCATAGGGTTGCAAATTAATTTTTCTGGTCACTCCTATCCTTGGCTAGCCCAGGAAAATTCCAGGCTACATTTTTTAAAAATACCACTATCAATTTCTCCTTGGATTTTTCCAATTTAGAACTTTCATCTTTTACCAATTAACTAGTTTCTGGATTTGGTATAAGTTGCTCCCAGATGATAACACAATTTATACATACATTAAAAAAAAAGGGGTGGGGGACTTAGAAAAACTAAACCACCCACATTTTTGGACAGTGGGGAGACTCATTGCTTCAGGCATTGTTTTAGGTAATAGCAGTAAGCAAAAGTCTCTAGCCTCAAAAGGACAAACAAAAAGGGTAAAGAGGATAGAAAATGACAGGAATTCAGGGAGGGGCTGCTATTTTATGTCTTTCATAACCTTATGGAAAAAAATGAGGGAGAGCACCAAGCAGATACCTGAGAAGGCTATTTCCAGCCAAGGGCAAGGGCCATGAGATCAAATTGTAGTTGGCAGCTATGAAGAAAAAGGAGAACGTAGTGGGGGCAGCTCATGTGAAGCACGTAGGTCTTAGGAAGAGCTCTGAGCAGGAGTGTGAAGTGATCTGACTGCTGTGGGAAAAGACCAAGGTAGCAAGGGTGTGAGTGAGTGGAGAGACCAGTTAAAACTTGCAGTAACTACGTGGTGATTTATACTAAAGTGGTAGGAGTGGAGATGGTGATTCTGGGTATACCTTAAAGGGTGATATGAGTCACTGACTCTGGGAGCAACCATAAGAAGCAATTTACTGAAATTAGACCACTTGCGAAAAGGGCGTTGGATTAAGAGGGAAATTAGAAGTTCCTTTTGGAAACTTTTAAGCACTTATTACGACAAAAGGGAGATTGTACTTTAAGAACAATTTGTTTTTGCCTTTGAAGGCTGTTGGTTGTAATGGCAGCTTCATTGGTAGGTAACTGAAATACTGTTATATGTTCACACCTACTCATGGGCAATTTGCCCATGGTAATACTGGTTATTATTTCATTATACCAGCCCTTTCAAATCTTAGCCTGGGTTAGCATAATCCTGTGTCTCCCAAGTGACTCTAGGTTAGGCAATCAGGAAGCATGAATCATACCACATTCTTGAAGCTAAATCTTAGCGCCTCACCCTTTACAAACGAGATAAAATGATTTTCATATTTATTTTTTTTTTAAAAATCCAGAATGGATCAAAAAGAACAATCAAAAATGTAGGTGATGTAGGTGCCAGCCAACACAGACCAGAAGGTAGCTAGAAAAATAGGCATGAGGAAAAGTTAGGGAGCCCATTATTACCTTGTTTTAAAAGCTGTACCTAACACAAATAACTAGCTTATAATTTTCCATTGATGAAGGTTCTCCACCCCACTTACCAATAGACATGGCTGGCTTGCCTTGCAAGGCCTCAGTTGAAGGACTCCATGTACATACGGGGCCAATATAACACTACTCTGCTAACTAGAAGGATCTCATCCCGTATGGTCTCTCTCGACGTCTACAGCTGACTACTTCCATTGTGTCTGGGACGGTTTCGTGCCCCCCTTGAAAATACGGCCACTTCAGCACAAAACAATGTTAAGTCTTTATAATGATCAACACATCGTTTTCCCCCTCCCCTCTTTTACATGCAGCTGAAAAATGATAGGCTAGGGACAGAACATTGTGAACTTTGTACTGCTGGAATTTATCACTCATTAAATGATCATTAGCTAACAGTCACTAAATTTACATATTAAGGAAATTATATATAGAATACTGCAAAAACACAGTAAGACTGAAGTTTGCCCATTCTGCTCAGGAAATCCCTTCACTCCCAAGCATCATAACATGTTTTCCTTTCTGCTCCCGTTTACTACTATTACTGTTTCTCCTCCTTTTGATCTTCCTTTTGTTCCCCAGTGCCAGAACTTCCAGAGCCTTCTCGCTCAGATGCCATCTGTTAAGAAAACATTTGAGAGGAACTCAGACTTTATGTTAGGGCTGATAGCTTGTTCTCCATTCTCTTCGCTGAACTCCAAAATGAAGGAAGCACATATTCTTCATCTATCTTATCCTCCTTCCCCCCTTGTACACTACTGTTGGTTTCTGTGATTCTTTCCCTTTGACCCCATCCCTGACCCAAGAGTCAAAAAAGCAAGAAAGATGTTTCCAACTCTAATACTCCCAATTCCATAAATGGCTGTGCAGGGAGCCACCCGTAACAGTAATCAAGAGCAGTTACATCAAGTTAGAAGCAAAATCTACATTAAGCAGAACCCTGCAGCCCGTTACCTTTTTGTACGCCATTTCGAAGAGCTTCAAAGATGCCTGCTGAAGGGAGGACGCTGCCTGCCTTATATTTTCTCCTGTTTCACTGTCTTTTCGAGCTAGGATTTCCCTCATTTTGGAAATCTCTTCTTTTAGCTTGTTGCACTTAGAAAACAAAACAAAAAAATCCTTTTTCAAGGTCTACTGTTCATTCCATATAGCAGTCATATTCAGAAACATTTGTTAAAAACTAAACCTCTACTAAGACTACAAAGTGCAGTGAACTTTACTGACGCTAGTGACAATGCCTCCCAACTTCTTGGGCCATTTAAAAATAGAACTCACCTCATCAGCAGGCAATTGGTCTTTGAATTCTTCCATCTTGGTTTCTGTGTCATGAATGATTCCTTCAGCCATGTTAACTGCTTCAACTCGTTCCTGAAACATATTAGAAGTTTGGTACAAATGAAGATTTCCCAATCAACAAAGTGTGCTCAGTGTCCACACTGGGCAAGACAATATGCTGACTAGTACATACAAAGTGCTTACAGTTACAGAGTAAAAACAGTAAAAGGGAGAAACTGCTGTGGTGTGGGGTAGTCTGTGACAGCTTCAAGAAGGATTTGAGCTGGATTCTGTAGCATGAGAATTTTGATAAGGGAAGAAGTAAGAAAGGGATTCCAGCAAGAGTTATGATCAAAGGAGGAGGTAAGTTCAATGACACATGTCCAAACCCCTACTTTTACCTCCCACCTTTACAAAGATTAAGAAGCTCAGAAATGAGAAGGCTGAAAGTGATCACCTTCTTTCGCCGGTCTTCCTCAGCATACTTCTCTGCATTTTTAACCATATTTTCAATATCATCTTTGCTTAACCCACCAGAAGACTGGATCACAACTGTAATTTAAAAAAAAAAAAAGTATTTTATTAGTTCCCCAGTAAAGTATATGCCTCTTATTCCTCTACCACATTAAGAAAAAGAGTACTCCTGCTCAGAGTAGCCAATCTTGATGCAAATTAGGAAGAAGGAGAATACCCTGTCGTCCTACAGTAAACAAGAAATCAAAGGTTTGAAATATACAAAGACCAACTGGTCTGCCTACTGGAACTTTAATAATCCAGAGGCTTGGTGCTTGCCTGTTTGGGGGAATAAACACACTTGTTAATGTGAATCTTAAAACAGAGTAGAAAAGGGGCATCTTACCCTAAGACTGGGTACAACCTAGAGACTTTAGTTCCTAACAAAGGAACTCTAAGGTCCCTTACCCCACTCTTACAATCTGATAAATAAGAGGACTTACTTTGTTGCTCACGTCCTGTGCCCTTATCTTTGGCAGAAACATGTACAATCCCGTTGGCATCAATGTCAAATGTAACTTCAATTTGAGGGACTCCACGAGGGGCTGGGGGAATTCCAATCTAAAATCCAAAAATATCCAGAATAAGCTCCACTCACAGAGGGGTCCAGTGCTACATTTCCAAACCTATACAGTCTTCTGGGGGACTAATTCACTTGATTCCTGGGAGTAACATGTAAGATCTTCATTTAATTAAATGCACAAAACCCCAAACTTACAAGTGAGGGTAGTAGTTTCGTTGCTGCCTAATGAAAAGGGATCATACCAGTGAAGATTGGCTATAACAAGCAACCATACTAATGACTGCATGTATCTGGGGGTGCAGTAAATTAACAAATCTCCCCACCACTATTCATCTCACAAAGAACCAATAAAGCAATGATCAGAAACCAGGAATGAAATCAAATGCCTTTTAAATTAGTAATCAGGAAAAATCAGGTATTCCTCTCAGCTAGCACTATTTCTGCATTATTTCCCTGGCTCTTAATTATCAACTATTTTTTTTTTGGTGGGGGGAGTGGTTAATGATTTATTTTTTTGTTGAGAATATACACAGCAAAAACATACACCAACATTTTCTACGTGGACAATTCACTGATACTGATTACATCCTTCGAGTTGTGCAACCACTCTCACCCTCCTTTTCTAAGTTGTTCCTCACCCATTAACATAAATTCACTGCTCCCTAAGGTTCCTGTCTAATCTTTCGAGTTGCTGTTGTCACTCTGATCCCATATAGATAGATCTTGAAAGAACACAATGCTCAAGGCAGACATTCTTTACTAGTTAAGCTAAACTATGGTTTTAAGAAGACTTAGGGGATATTTCTGGTTTAAGATTTAAAGATTATTTTAGGGCAATAGTTTTGAGATATTTATCCACTTCTTGATGAAGTTCCTAACCAACAAGAACAAGCAAGGTTTTCAGGTAAAAAGTGAAGCCATTGGTGAATTCCTCTGCATACCTTCTTAAGAACATGGCACATGTCTATGTATGTCAACAGTTTATTGTCTTATTTTTAGAGAACAGAATATAGTCTAACTTTATAGTGAAGAGATTAAGGAGCACAATATCCAGAATTCACAATACCTACCAAAGTAAACTGTCCAAGAAGTTTGTTATCTCCAGCCATCTCTCTCTCACCCTGGCACACTTTAATCTCCACTTGAGTCTGTCCATCAGCAGCTGTAGAAAATACCTAGGGAGGAAGGAAACTTCCTGGGTTGGCAGTGTGATTAAACTACTTCCCTTTTGCAGACAAAACGGAAGCCAGAAATAGAAATTCACATCCCAACATTGTAAAGGTCCTAAACGTACACTATGTTCAAAACAAAGGCTTAAGTCTTTGCAGGGAACAGGAGTAGGATTCGGACAGCAAAAGGGCACACAGTAACTATTATTTCCGTCAAGCAAACGCATTTTACAAAGATGCAGCATTAGCACAGAAGCCTCAAGTGAAGCAGCTAAAAAACAAGATGCTGAAACATGCTCATCTGTGGAAACGTGTCAGAGAAAGGAGATATATCTTGTGCTCAGTCACAGAAAGTCACCACACATACTTTTCTTCAGAATGATGTGTTGGCAAATACATCATTGCACAAATACAGCAACAGCCACAATTTTTCAGGGAAAAAAAGACTGGAAAAGCCAGGACATAATAAGTCGTCTTAATACTTTAAGACCAAGCCATCTCCAAATTGCCCTGCTTGGTATCTTGGGGCCCCAGTGCACCCCATCATTCAGCCATAAGCACACACTCCCTTAGTCCTGCTCAGGCTTTTTTTTTTTTTACAGTGCCTTTAAGAACAGAAAGAGTACAAGGAATCAGTCCCAAACGCTGGGGCTCCTTTTGGCAAGTTACATTAATCCTGTGAAAGAGACACTATCAATGCCCTCCCTATAATCATTACTGCTGGCTGACAGGTAAGGAGAACTTTTCCAGGAACAAAAAAAATTCTCAATACCCAAAGTCAACTAGTCTGGACTATTACCAAAAAGCGAAGTTTTCTGGAAAAGTTCACTAAAATGATTGCAATCACATCTGTCACAGAAGCTAATGTCTCTGTGACAAGGTAAGGAGGGGTGATTCTTACCTGGCTCTTCTTGGTTGGAATAGTGGTGTTCCTGTTAATAAGTTTAGTAAAGACACCTCCCAGAGTCTCAATACCCAGAGACAGGGGAGTGACATCCAGGAGTAGCACATCTGTGACATCACCAGCCAACACACCTCCCTGAATGGCAGCTCCAATGGCCACAGCCTCATCAGGATTAACAGCTTTACTTGGGGCTCGGCCAAAAAGATCCTGCACAGTCTGTTGAACCTGAGCATCAAGAAGAAAGAATCTGTCACCCACTACTCAGGGCCACTGCCTGGGAAGAAGGAGAGAGAGCATTTCTGTCCCAAGCCCCAGCCAATCTCAGGACAGGTTGTTTCAGATCTAAGAATGTTTACTCAAATTATACTTCTAGTTAAGTTTTTGTTAATGACCCAATATAAATTTATCACACACTTTAGAAGATGCAAGGCAAGGGAACTTAGAAATTGTACAGTCCAAGTCCTCCACGTCCACCCATCAGCTAAAGACCAATTTAAAAGAAGCCTAGTAATAATTCAACATTGGTGCCAATGTAGGGTGTGTGTCGTCTCCTCCCCCACTGCCAGGTTATTTTACTAGCACTAAAAAAAAATGCTATTTGAATATTATCTGGAATAATTTACTAATACTAAGGTATCCTCCTGGCTAAAGCCCCCTACCAGGCTTACTCTGTTCATATTTTCCTAAGCTCCTGTATTCCAAAAGAAAAATTAAGAAAATATTCAGGTCATCAACTTAGGACCAAGACAATTCTGCTTAGGCTACAAAGCAAGAATTATACCTCCAACAGGTTCTGTGCTCAGTCATTAGTTTTCTACACACCTGTCTTTTCAGAATGATGTACTGATGAATAAAATGCATCACTGCACAAATCTTCGTTGTAAGAGATGCAATTAGAAACCCCTGACACTATACTGCATAGACATCTGTCCAAAAGCTCCTCAAGACTAGTTAGTACCAAGGTTTTAAGCTACCTCTGATCTCAAACATTGTTTCATTCTTAAACTTTTTGTGAGACTTAAGTTTAGGACCCTCCCTACTATCACCACAAAGACATTCTGTCCTTCTAATGCCCTTTCTTATACCCTTGAATTAAAAAAGGCCGCGAAGAACTCTTTAGTAAGGGCACAAACTCATCCCCCTTTCAGGTCATCCTGTATATACCTACACAACATAGGGTCACTATGAGTTGGAATCAACTGAACAGCAACGGATATACAACATAAGCCACCTGTCCCAAGAAAACATTATGTGCTGGCCCTCTCTATGCCAGGAATTTCATGGGTCCATACCTTGGGCATCCTAGTCATGCCACCAACAAGAATCACTTCTCCTATGTCACTCTTGCTGACTTCTGCATCCTGCATGGCTTTTTGGCATGGGGCGATAGTCTTCCTAATTAGGTCAGTGACAATCCCCTCAAATTGAGCCCGGCTCAACTTCATGTTCAAATGCTTGGGTCCAGAAGCATCCATTGTAAGATATGGCAAGTTGATGTCAGTCTGCAAAGGAAGTGTTTAACTGCATGTTAGTCGGGACACCAGAGGTGGTTAAGTTTATTTCAGTTAAATGTAAGATCATACTATAGGACAAGAAAACTTGGAAAGCCATAGACAGGGTAAGATCTACTTTAAATGAACAGCCACCAAACAGTGACTCTTTAAGATGCAACCTCTTATCTCCCCAGAGACAAGCACCACAGAATCTGTTCTAATGAGGTCCACAATTATTAAAAGGAGCCCTGGTGGTGCAGCGGTAAAACGCTAAGCTGCTAACTGAAATGTCAGTGGTTTGAACCCACCAGCTGTTCCACAGGAGAATGCTGTGGGAATCTCCTTCTGTGAAGACTTACAGCCTTGGAAACTCTATGGGGGCAGTTCTACTCTGTCCTATAGGGTCACTATGAGTCTGAATCGACTCCTCAGCAATGGGTTTTATATTAACAAAAGAGAAGAGACTAGACAAGGCAGAAATATCTCAGTTCAGGAAATAAAGAACTATCCTGCCACTAAACATACATTTAGGATCATACTATCAATGCTTTCCCTTTCATCAAGTTTTAAAAGTATCCCATGTACACGAAGAAAAACGTCAAAAGCTTTGCTCTGAAAGAAATAACCTGCCACCAACCCTGACTTTATAAGTTTCAGGAAGATGGCAAGAAAGCTACAGAAATGTTCTTACTAAAAACAAGTACAAGGACTGACTTGTACTGCCGTCACATTTGCGGGGAGCAGCGAACACTGCTACAGCCACACTATGTAGCATCCAGTATTTAATAAACTCGACATTCCAGTAAGGCATGTGATCTTATAATGTGTAAGAATATTTAGACTAACAAAATCTACCACCGATTATGCCGAAAACAGCGGTCCCAGGGGTGAATCATCGGTACTGGAATTGCTTTTGACTCCCCTCCAACTTCACATCAAAGCAAGGTCAGAAGCAAAGACTAAGGGGACCAGATCCTTAACCACTTTTTCAGGAGAAAAACCCTGGACAGTTAAATGCTTAATAAATAATTGCCGTTAACAAATCTCTGTAGAAATAGTGATAAAATAGCGATACGGGGTATTGCTTTAGAGGACACTGTTGACAATTTCCTTCTTTCTTTGCAAAACGTTGATTATATAAACTAATATTATCCATTATCTGTGCTGTTCAATTCACTAGCCATTAGCCACATATAGACACTGAACCACTGAACTGAGGCAGTACAACTGAGAAACTGAATTTTTAACTTTATCTAATTTTAATTAATTTAAACACCCACATGTGGCTACTGTTATGAGTGCAAAACTAAACTCTAAAAGTTCATGACAAACTGAAAAATTCTAGGAATACCAACTCTCAAACATCCCAAAGTTCTGTCCTGCTTACCACCTCCTCCTCTCTAAAATCCATCACTCATCTCTCACTACCACACTCTGTTCCTCTCTCATCAGCTGGTGTGCTACAATAACCTCCCAGCATCTTCCTATATCCACTCAGGCTGCCTCTGCCACAGGACCACTCACCAAACAATTCTCCACTCCACCTTAGCTAGAGTGCTTTCCACAAGTCAAAATATTACCTCTAGGCATTATGCTGAATGAAATAACTCAATCACAAAAGGACAAATACTGTATGAGACCACTATTATAAAAACTCATGAAAAGGTTTACACACAAAAAATCTTTGATGGTTACGAGGGAGGGGAGGGGTGCGGAGGGAAAAACACTAAATAGACAATAGATAAGTGGTAACTTCGGTGAAAGGTTAGACAGTACAGAATACTGGGCAAGCGAGCACAACTCTACCAAGGCAAGGTCGTGGAGGTTCCATAGACACATAAAAACTCCCTGAGGGACTGAATTACTGGGCTGAGGGTAGGGGACCATAGTCTCAGGGGACATCTAGCTCAATTGGCATAATATAGTTTATAAAGAAAATGTTCAACATCCTGCTTTGGTGAATAGTGTCTAGGATCTTAAAAGCTTGTTAGCGGCCACTGGTCTTACCTCATCTGGAGCAAGGAAGAGTGAAGAAAACCAAAGGCACAAGGGAAAGATTAGTCCAAAGGACTAATGGACCACAACTACCACAGCCTCTACCAGACTGAGCCCAGCACAACTAGATAGTGCCCAGCTACCACCACTGACCGCCCTGACAGGGATCACAATAGAGGGTCCTGGATAGAGCTGGAGATAAATGTAGAACAAAATCCTAACACACAAAAAAAGACCAGACTTACAGGTCTGACAGAGACCAGAGAAACCCTGAGAGTATGGCCCCTAGACGCCCTTTTAGCTCAGTACTAACGTCACTCCTGAGGTTCACCTTTCAGCCAAAGATTAGACAGGCCCATAAAACAAAGCGAGACTAGATGGGCACACTAACTCACAGGCAAGGACGAGAAGGGAGGAGGGGATAGGAAAGCTGATAACGGAGAACCCAAGGCCGAGAAACGGAGTGTGAGACACACTGTGGGGTTGGCAACCAATGTCACAAACTAAGTATGTGTATTGCTTAATGAGAAACTAACTTGCTCTGTATACCTTCATCTGAAGCACGATTAAAAACAAAACAAACAACAAAAAAGAAAATATTACTTCCCCAACTTAAAACTCTCCAGTGGTTTATACTAATTTCATCTCAGGAGACATACCAAATCCCAAATCTAAAAAGCCTCTAGCCTCATCTTCCATGCTCTCTCACCCTCACTGCACTTAGGTCATGCTGGCCCTCTCTCAGGCCATCTCCTCCTCACTTCAGAGCCTTACACACGCTGTCTGTCCCCATTATCTTTTTCTTGGTTATCTCATCTTTCAGAGAAGCTAGTCTGGTATGCCAAACACCTAGGTCAGGTTCCTCTATTAAAAGGCTTTCTTTTGTACCATTTGTTAAAATTAATAATAGCTTACACTTACAGTACTTATTTACTACACGTTGTAAGCACGTTATATGTATTAATAATTTGGTAATCCTCACAACTCTTAAGCGGGGAAGGAACCATTATTACCCTCATCTTATAGGTAACAAATCAAACAAATGTTAAGTAATTCACCCAAGGTCACACAGTAAGTGATGAAATAGGGATTTGAACCCCAGCAGTCTGACTGCAGAACCTGCATTTTCCCCTCCCCCAGCCCCTGGTAACCACTAATAAACTTCAATCTCTATCATTTGCCTTGTCTAGGTATTTCATGTAAGTGGGATCATACAACATTTCTACTTTTGTGTCTGACTTATTTGACTTGGCATGTTTTCAAGGTTCATCTGTTACAGCACGTATCAGAACTGCATTTCTCTTTATGGCCGAATAGTACTCCATTGTGTGTATATACTACACTTTGTTTATCCATTCATTCTTTGATGGACACTTGGATTTTCCCACCTTTTCACTATTGTGAACACTGCTGCAATGAACACTGGTGTGTAAGTATATAAGCTGCAAAGTCTGCATTCTAAATCTTGAAATTACACTGCTTCTGGTTTGACATTTACTTACATAATTTTATGATCAATGTCCATCTCCCCACACCACACTGTAAATGCTAAGAGAGTAATAAATGCTTGCAGGAATTTATCCTACAGGTTTACCTTCACAAGTGTGCAATAAGAATGTATAGGATGCTCATACTTAGTATATTTTGCTATAGTAGCAAAATGCTGGAAAGCAATCCAAATGCCTATCAATAGGATACAGCCACACAAATTAAAACTTCTTCCAACATTCCCCCCCAAAAAGTGTCAAGTCCCACTTCCAGGCAACATGGTGCTATAGTCAGAAGCACCACGACATCCCTCCGCAGCAAAGATCAGAAAAACTAAGTCAAGTAGAGTCACACGTCAATCCTGAAACCTAAGCATCAAAATCAAGAGATAAAGAACTCAGCCAAGCACCGAATGGAATAAGAAACTGACCGAGAACAGAGTGCAAGGAGAGATACGTGCAGAGATCCCCTATCAGATACCGCAGCATGGATCCGCCATCTTGGACTCCTGTCGGAGATCAGCGAACAGGAGGTATGAGAAAGCAGCTTCACGGAGCTTCCAGCAGGAGACAACAACCAGTAACCCGCGATACAGGCTTTCCCACCCCCCAACCCTTCTTCACCCCGACTTAGCCTCCTCTGCTTCTTGCAGCCACAGCCTACTGGCTGGGAAGCACGAGCTTCCCTCCAGTGCCACTTAGATTCCACCTGCCTGCACTGGCCAGCTCCCTGAGTGCCGTTTGTCGGCTGCTGGTCTTGCTTTTTTCAGCTTCTTTAGATTCCTTCCTTACCTCTCACCACCTCCCCCTCCTTCCTCTCAAATACCTGGCTCCGTGCGCCATCTTTGCTTCTTCCTGAACAGCTACAAAACACCACTTGACTGTGAAACTGCTGCCACGCTGGTGGGACCCCCGGGGCTTTTTCGTTTGTTTTCTCTGATTTGTTCTGTTTTGATTTGTTTGTTTTTTCTTTTCTCAGCCTGGGAGCCCCTTCTAGCCAGGCAGTACCACGCAGCTTAGAAGCTAGTCCCTTACTCTGTGCAGATGCACAGGGACATACCTGGGGGCATTTCTTGTTTTTTTCTTTTTATTTCTTTGTTTAGTTTTCTTCTCTCTCTTATTTCCTTTTTTGTCTTTCTTCATTTCAAGTTGCTCAATTTATTCATTTTTTTCTTTTACCTTTTTTTTTCTTTCTTTTTTCCCCCCATTTCTCACTCTCTCATCTCTCCACTCCACTAACAAGCTACCTTAGTACTCTTTTTTGTTTGCGTGAATGTTTTTGGCTCCTGTTCCTCTCACCTCTCTCTCATCTTTCCCATACCCATCTTAGCTCTACACATCACAACCTACCCCCTCCTTCCTGCCTTACTGCACCACGTGCTGAACATCACACTCCCAAGCAGCACAGGCACGGCCTACTGGAACCTGCCCTGCACTGATTCCCAGTCCGCACTGTCAGCCCTGGTACGTGCCATAAAGATCCTATCACAGCAACTCCTCTTCAGCTGGACCTGCCCTGCTGTACCATACCTGAGTGACTGACCCTGCCCATTGGAGAAGGACGTGAAAAATATCGCACCCACAGACGACCAAACAACAGAGAACGCACAGCCTGCCTGCTCAGACGTAACCAAATGAAACAAAAAAGCAGGACAAAACAAACAAATCTACAATCAGTAAACAAGGAAAAAAAACACCAAATGCCCCGAAGACAGCAGACAATATCAAAACATTTACAAAAACAGGACAGGATGGTTCCAGTAGGTGTCCAAAATAAAATACCAGATGACCTTCCAGCAGAAGAAAAGGCACTAGACCTAACTGATAAGAGATATCAAATCTCTAATATTCAGAATTATTGAAGAGTTGAAGCAAAAAACAGACGAGGAAAAAATAGACAAATTCATGGAAAATACAGACAAAATAAATGGAAGAATTCAAGAAATACAGGAACAAAATGCTCAAATAAATTAACAACTAGAAATCATACAAAAACTACAATTAGAAATCCAAAAGATAAACAAGATTTCAGAAATGGACAGTGTCACAGAAGGGCTGAGGAGGAGGTTTGAAACAATGCAAGACAGGATCAGAGAAACTGAAGAAAAACACTTAGATACAACTCTGAGGAAAAATCAGAAAAAAGAACAAAGAAAAATGAAGAAACCCTGAGAATTATGTGGGATACAATCAAAAGCAAAAATCTGCGAGTGACTGGAGTTCCAGAACAGGGGGAAAAAACAGAGAGGATCACTGAAGAACTGCTGACAGAAAACTTCCCCAAAATCATGAAAGATGAAAAACTGACCATCCAAGAAGCTCAATGAACCCCATACAGGATAGACCCCAAAAGAAAATCACCAAGGCATACCATAATCACACTTGCTAAAATCAAAGACAAAGACTCCTGAGAGCAGCTCGAGAAAAACAAAAGTCACATACACAGGAAAAACAATAAGACTAAGCTCGGATTATTCGGCAGAAACCATGCAGGCAAGAAGGTAATGGGATGACATATTTAAAAACTGAAAGAAAAAAATTGCCAGGCAAGAATAATATATTCTGCAAAACTCTCCTTCAAATATGATGGTGAAATTAGGTCATTTCCAGATAAACAGAAATTAAAAGACAATGTAAAAACCAAACCAAACTTACAAGACTTATTAAAGGGAAGTCCTTCAATCTGAGAAAAAACAGTATCAGACCACAGGCTGAATATAGGACACAGGATTGTACTAGCCAGGACACCAACCTAGGAAATGAACTCTTAAGGACTATGCAAAACCCAAAGAATTACAAAAGGGGACCAGAGAGGTTAATCTGTAAATGACAACAGCATCAAAACAATAAAAGAGGGAATAAACGGTATAGGTATAGAACCTTCTAATGGAGAGGAAATCAAGGGATACCAAGTAATAATAGACTGGTTCAAATCTAGGAAGATAAGGGTCAATTTCAAGGTAACCACAAAGAAAGTTAACAAACCTACTCATCAAAGTAAAGAAGAAAAACATAAAGTCTCAATAAAAACAAAACCTATAAAAGCAAAAGAAATGGAAAAAAAAAAAAACAAACCACAAACAAAAGGAACGTAGCACAGAAGAGTAAGAGGCACAAAGAAAACGTCAGCACCACAAAAAAATGCACTACAAAATGCAATCCCACGCCTAGGAATATATCCTAGAGAAATAAGAGCCATCACACAAATAGACATATGCACATCCATATTCACTGAAGCACTTGTTCACAATAGCAAAAAAGATGGAAACAACCTAGATGCCCATCAACAGATGAACGGATAAACAAGCTATGGTACATATACACAATGGAGTATTATACAAAGATACAGAACAATGATGAATCTGTGAAGTATCTCATAACATGGATGAAACTGAAAAACATTATGCTGAGTGAAATAAGTCAATCAAAAGGACAAATATTGTATGAGACCTCTACTGTATAAGTCGTGTAAAGGTTTACACACAAAAAGAAACAATCTTTGCTGGTTACAAGGGATGGGACGGGTGGGGTGGGGGGAACCAAATAGATAAGTGGTAACTTTGGTGAAGGCTAAGACAGTACACATCACTGGGGAAGCCAGCACAACTTGTTCAAGGAAAGGTCATGGAAGCTCCATAAACACTTTCAAACTCCCGGAGGGACTGAATTGCTGGGCGAAGGGCTGTGGGGACTATGGTCTCGGGGAACACCTAGCTCAACTGGCATAACACAGTTTGAAAAGATTAGTCCAACGGACTAATGGACCACAGTTACCACCGCCTCCACCAGACTGAGTCCAGTATAGCTAGATGGTACCTGGCTACCACCACTGACTGCTCTGACCAAGATCATAATAGAGGGTCCTGGACAGAGCTGGAAAAGGATGTAGTACAGAATTTTAACTCACAAAAAAAGAGACAAGATTTACTGGCCTGACAGACTAGAGAAACCCCAAGAGTATGCCCCCTGGACACCCTTTTAGCTCAGTGGCGAAGCACCTCCTGAAGTTCACCGCTCGGCCGGGGACTGGACAGCCTCATAAAACAAAACAGGACTAATGAGGCACAGCAGTCCAGGGACAAGGACTAGCAAGCAGAAGGGGAAAGGAAAGCTGGTGATAGGGAACCCAAGATAGAGAAGGGACAGTGTTGACATGTCATGGGGCTGTTAACCACTGTCACGTGGCAATATGTGTACTGTTTAATGAGAAACTATTTGTTCTGCAAACCTTCATCTACGGTACCAAAAAAAAAAAAAAAAAGAATTATCGATGTGAGATCAAATTGACAACAGCAACTCAAAAGGTTTGATGGGAAGCCTAGGGGACAGTGAGTTGAAGATAATGGTGATGGAATAATTTGGAAAAGGACAGTGAGAATAGCAGCACAACTTGAAGAATGTAATCACCGTCACTGAATTGTACATGTAGAAACTTCCAAAATGGCGTAACTTTCACTATGTATATTTTCACCAAAAAAAAAGTCCTCAAGGTCGAGAAGGGAGAGTGTTGACATGTTGTGGCGTTGTTAACCAACGTCACAAAACAATGCGCACTATTGTTTAATGAGAAAGTATTTGTTCTGTAAACCTTCTCCTGAAGTACAATACAAAAAATTTAAAAAAAGAAAAAGAAAAAGCGTCAAGTCCCTGGAAAGAATTACCAGCTATCGTCTGGCAGTGCTGCATATTTTAATCTCAAAGCTAACGATCATATTGCAAAGTTCTGCCATCTCATATAACAGCAAAGACAAAGCACCTCCATGGATGAGTTTATATAATTTTGACACTCCTCACAGACGCTTAAAAACAAACAAACAAACAAAAAACCTGGTTTGATTGATGGTTAATTAGCAGCAACCACTCTACCAACACAATGACAGCTTCTATAAATACCTCTTCCCTTCCCAGTGTGGGAGATCCAAGTAACAACTACAGTATTCACAAGTTCTGCTCTCCTGTTGTCAACCAAGAACCTGAAAATAGTTCTCCTGCTTTCCATCTTGGTGGGTCTCTGACCCAGACCTAATATAGTTTGTATAATTCTGTTCTTATTCGTTAAGACAAAGTGAAGCTCCACCTCTCAAAACCGCAAATCACGCTGACACCTTAAACAGAAGCTGAACAAATCTGATGCTCACAGAGGAAAACTTGTGCAGACATATAAACCTGGTTTCAAACCTCATTTTCTAGATTGGTGACTGAAATAATTAAAAAAAGGCCAATTAGAGGCTCCCATTCACAAGACGAAATGTTTTAAAGTGAAGACAGTAGCAGTTCTGAGAGCCTCAGCAATTCCAGGCTAACAATTTTAATTTTATACATTACTATACTACATATCAATACAAAGCAGTAACATCAACGTCTTTAACTTAAAGGCAAAGAAGTGTGTGCACTTGTATTTACATATCAATATAATTATTTGGCTCCAGTAAACACAACTTCTGATTTGGGTGGTTAAAAATTTTCAGCTCATCTGTATAAAACAAACTAAAGACCATATTGCTCTTTTACTCATAAATGGCTTTTCCACCAGCCAGAAAACTACAAAAAAACCAAACTGACACTAGACCAATTAGGACATGCTATTCAACAGACTCAGAATGAAAATACCCATCAAGACTGCCGTGACTTTTCCACATCTCACCTGCACAGATGAGGAGAGTTCACATTTGGCCTTCTCAGCAGCTTCCCGCACCCTCTGAAGTGCCATGTTGTCTTTGGTCAAATCAACCCCTGACTACAAAGGGAAGATAAACAACACAAGTATTAAGCAGATGTTAAACTGCAGTAAGAAGTTGGAACAACACAAAGTGGAGTCATACTTTTACAAGCAAGCAAAAAGAATTACTGTTTATTTCTCTTAAAAATCTGTAAGGAAAAATAACCTACCTGTACCTGGATTACATAAGATGAACTGATGCTTGGTTCTTTCTAGCCCTAGAATTCTAGCTCAAAAAGGCAGTTCCTACAATTCTTTTTCCAATATTGTACAATGATTGCCATATCCTTTTAACTCCGCTGTTTGTTCCCAATATGAAAGACATAGTCCGTTACTCTGCACAGATGCACAGGGATATCCCTGGGGACATTTCTTTTTTGTTTTTGGTTTTTTCATTTTTTTGTTTAGTTTTCGTCTCTCTCTTATTCCCATTTTTTCTTTCTTCATTTCCAGTTTCACAGTTTATTTTTTCTTTTACCCTTTTCCTTCCCCCCTCCATTTCTCAGTCTCTCATCTCTCCACTCCAATAACAAGCTCCCTTAGCACTCTTTTTTGTTTGTGTCTTTGTCTCCGGTTCCTCTCTCCCCTCTCTCATAATTCCCACACCCATCTTAGCTCCACACATCACAACCTACCCCCTCCTTCCTGCCTAACTGCACCGTGTGCTGAACATCACGCTCCCACGCAACACAGGCACAGCCTACTGGAACCTGCTCTGCACTGATTCCCAGTCTGCACTGTCAGCCCTGGTACATGCCACAAAAAACCTATCCCAGCAACTCCCCTTCAGCTGGACCTGCTCTGCTGTACCATACCTGAGTGACTGACCCTGTCCATTGGAGAAGGGGATGACAATTATCATGCCCACAGACGAGCAAACAACAAAGAACGCACAGCCTGCCTGCTCAGACATAACCAAATGAAACAAAAAGCAGGATAAAACACACAAATCTACAACCAATATGAACGACAATAACCAGAATAGTTCAGTCAAGCCACTGAACCTGAAAAGTAATAGAAATCATTCTCTATAAAGGGCAAAAAAATGTAAATGAAGCAAACAGCAAACTGAACAAGGAAATTCTCAATATCCCAACATCTACACACTAACTACACCGGTAACTAACCTCTCTCTTGAATTCCTTTACAATGTGTCGTAGCAAGGCCTGGTCAAAGTCTTCTCCACCTAAGAATGTGTCTCCATTGGTGGATTTCACCTCAAATACTCCTTTCTGAATTTCCAGGATAGAAATATCAAAAGTTCCACCACCTAAATCATATACAGCAATGCTAAAAATAAAAAAGAAGGAATTAAGGAACAAAACTTACCACAAGGGTATAAATTTCAATAACCAAATGAACACAAACCTCTCTTCCTTAGGTAGATAATAAGCAGTAACGAAATTTTTACAACTGTCCAAATGACATGTCTGTTAACACACGGCCCTAACTGCCAACATGTAAACACACACACACAGCTAAAATAAAATAAATTCTTTTCTTTTCAGAAACTGTGAAACTGACCATAATCAACAACACTCTTGGATGAATACTTGCCAACATGCATACCAAGGCAGGCAAGAATCATCATGGCCCAGTACTTAAAAATAAGTAAAGGAATGATTTTGAAATGAATGAAAAATGGCCTCAAGATGAAGGTAGTACATTTTCAGTCTAAGTACGAAGCTCAACCACAAATAAATCAAGATGACAACTGAGAGTAAGTTTCATGACTCCATAAACTCAGTTTCACACATTCAGGTGGAATTTACTGCACAAACTTACATTTTATCTTCAGACTTGTCTAGACCATAGGCCAGAGCAGCAGCTGTGGGTTCATTTATCACCCGAAGCACATTTAGTCCAGATATCTGGCCAGCATCCTTAGTGGCCTATAGAAAACAAACAAAAAAATAGCATTTTCTCAGCCTTGTCTCCCAAGTACCATTAATTTTCATGTGTAAGAATGCTAATTGACCTCACCTGTCTCTGAGAATCATTGAAATAAGCTGGGACTGTGATCACAGCATTTTTTGCTGCATGCCCCAAATAATTTTCTGGAAAAGAATAAATAATAAAATTAAATAATGTTATTTTGTCAGATAAAGTAGGCAACAGAATTACTAATACATCCTAACAACTGTATCACCCTTTTTTGGAGCCATAAGCAACACACTCTGGTTTCTCAGCATGTGAGCTAAAATGTAGACATCTTTTAAGAAAATACTACAATACTGGTTGAAAACCCTAGAGCTCATCTTTAACGTTTTAAAAAAGGTTAATCAAGCTACCAAACATGAACACATGCTCAGAAATGTCCTTCATCATCAATGACCTACTGTCAGACCTTAAACGGTCACCAGTTTCTTCAAACGGGAAGTTCTAAGTTTTACCTAACAGGGACCAGAGCTCAATGTATAGTTGTTCTGGCTTTCAATATAGAACACTACACCTCCCTACTGGGGGTGGGGGGAAGCAACGGTAAGAAAGTATGAAGAATAACAAAGTTTTGCCTTTCCTAGGTCTTCTGTACAAAAGACACCACAAGCTTATTATCTAACGGACACTGGGATATGGAAGCTAGTGATCTCAGAGGAACCACCCAGTTCTTTGAACTCCCCCAGATGTAAACTCAACTCTACTCACCTGCAGTCTCTTTCATCTTCATCAACACAAATGCTCCTATCTGACTTGGAGAATAGAGTTTTCCATGTGCTTCAACCCAGGCATCACCGTTGGAGGCACGGACAATTTTAAAGGGAACATTTTTACTGAAAGACGTAAAAACTGTACTTGAAAAAACTTGCCAGTGCAACCAACCACACCATTACCATACATCATGAATGTCCGCCCTCTACCCAAGAGACCATGGCCAACAAATGAGAAGTTCAGGAATTCATTTGATGAAAATTCTTAGAATGTAATCACTAACACATAAAAACATCCTGACAAAACATGAACACTTTGCTGTTGTTAGCTAACACTGAGTCAGCCCCTAATCCATGGGGTGATAGGGTTTTCACTGGCTGATTTTCAGAAGTAGGTCACCATGTATTTCTTCCTAGTCCATCTTAGTCTGGAAGCTCTGATGAAACCTGTTCAGCATCACAGCAACATGCAAGCTTCCGTCTTTACTTCCCACAAAACAAGATTTACACAACAGGAAACTCTACCTATGCTTACAATGTATTTAGTTGGGGGGGATCAACCCCCTCCCCAAGTTTTTGTTTTTCTGCATAGACATCAACACTTGATGGCACCTATGCCGTGATCTACCTTACATGCACGTTCAACACCAAATTATATGGCTCAGAAATGCCTTGTCCAATCTTCAAATAATCATGTTAATACATAGCAAACATTAATCTCTGAAGGCAGAAGTGAATTTTTTTTAAAAGTGATACCCTTTTGAGAGGGGCAGGGCTTATACCCGGGGATCCTAATCAAAGTGCTTAACGATTCTTCTGGCGCTTGCAAACAACTGTTTTTGCTATTACTCACATGTCTTTCTGCACTTCAGGGTCATCGTATCGGCGGCCAATGAGACGCTTGGTGGCATAGAATGTGTTGTTTGGGTTGGTGACAGCCTGCCGCTTGGCTGGCATGCCAACAAGTCGCTCGCCATCTGCTGTAAAGGCCACAACTGAAGGGGTTGTTCTGGCACCTTCGGCATTCTCCAGCACCTGTCATCCAAGGTAAGACACGAAATGAAGTTCCAGTCATCACTGGTGTCTGTGCATCAAAAGTTTAAGAGATAAAACAAGTCCCAAATCACAAAACAGATGCTCAAGAACAGTACTAATAGGCATGCTTTACTGCTCTGTGAATGCTGTCACAGTAAATACCTACTTCTGGAGACAGTAGAGATCCTAAGAACATGCTTCATATTTAGGATGTAGCCCATGGCTTCCCTGGAGCTCCACTTGCTTCTAGCCTGTTTCTGCAACCAGTTTGACTGACTTACAAAAATTCAAGATTCTGACTACAGGAGTAATCAACAGTGCAAGTCACCCCAACAAAACCTAATGGTCAAACCTCTATACCAGGAGACACAAACTCTATCCTGGGAAGTCAAATCCATTCAGCAGTCAGCACCATACAATTAAGCACAAAAGGTTCACCTTAAAGAGTCTTTGAGAAACTAAAAGAAGCTTTTAAACTACAAACTGGGGAGTCATCAGGTATCATTCATGCTCACCTTTGCTTGTTTACCTTCCATAACTGCTACACAGGAGTTGGTAGTACCCAAATCAATACCAACAACTGCTCCTTTGATTGCTTCTGAGCTGTAAGATATTTAAAACGTCACGATTATTGTTATCTTAATAGTGGTCTCCAAAATTGCTATAAAAATATGTAAGAAAATAATATATGACACAGGAATTAACAACAGAATACTACATATTCTATAAATAAATACAGGTAAGTAGTATATTTTTCTGAAAAAAAAAAAAAAAAAAAAAGTTAATCAAATTTAGGGCAGCTGGTTTGGTGTTCAATATGCATTATCTTTCAGAGAAAATGAAGTTACACTTACGCATAATCCCGCCTTGAAACAATTCTAAAAGCCTCATGACTAAGGCCGTTCCAGCTATCCTAAAAACAAAAAAAGGTTTATCAGCCATCAACTACTTAAGAGAACTGGGCTTCTTCCAATTATTCTTCCAGAGAACATTTAAAACTGTGAGACTTTCATTCTGTTAACTGCGGGACTACCATGTATAAAGCACAGTGAAATAAGATAGTTTCACGTACAAGATGCATTATAGTAGTAAATAAAGAAATTTTAGTATAGTACAAAATTTTCCAAGAAGATCGATATAAAGTTGTCTTGAATCGCATTACAACAGGGTTTCTCAACTTCAGTACTGACATTCTGAGTCAAATCTTTGTTGCGAGGGGCTGTTCATGTTTAGCAGCATTTCTGGCCTCTACTCACTAAAAGTCAGTAGCACTCTACTCTCCCCACCTTGTGACAACAAAAAAATGTCTCCAGATATTGCCAAATGTTCCCTTGGGGTGAAAACTGCCCTTGGTCGAGAACAGGTGCAATATAAGATACTATTAAGATGCTTCTCAATTTCATTGTCAGGAGCAATTCACATCTAAGCCCTAAATATGCATGTACTGCAGGTACAGATTTAAGATTTATTCCGTACACTTCTTATAACTTTGCCATCCAACTGCTTTAAAAAGCCTAGGATTAATTTTGTGCAGTTAAATTAAAAAAAAAAAAAAAGGATTTCAAGAGTGGCTTCCAACCAGGATGGAAGAGATTCGTTACAACCTAACCTCAGGCTACTTCTAGCCTTCCTTAAACCCACGTGAATGCAAATAGAGATGTAACTCCTGTTATCCCAAGACACGTTTTTGGTTTCTGATGATAATGAGCAACCATTCCACTGTTTTTTATTTGATCTGAAATAACGAGCGAAGACAATGTTACACCAACGATTTTAGGACAACTAACTGGGCATAATGTTCCTCTGTAGGAAAAAGGAGCCTTCTACTTAGTGATTCTACTTCTACTTATGATTTCCTACTTATTATTTAGGTGCCTTTCTATCTCCATTTCATCACAGCAACAGGGTCCCTGCACACACTGTATCTTACAAGCGGACATTTGCGTAAAAGGACAGCTAGTCTTGGATCCCTCGTGAAAATAACAAGTAGCGGCTCCTTTCCAAAAGAGAACAAACCTGTCCAAAAAGCCACAGAACGGACTGTTAGGACCACTACCCGCTATCTCACAGGATGAGACTAAAACGCTTAGCGTGTGACTCTGCACGGCCCGAGCCACGGAGTCAAAACTTCAAATAAGGAACTCAACCGGCAACGCTAATCACAGATGGCCTGTTATCTTCCTTTCCTCCTCCAGCTCTCTGCCGGAGGATTCTGACCCAGAACGCCGCGGCCTGACACACTGAGGCCCGAGAACGTGAGCCCCTCGGAGAAGGCCCAGCAGTTCCTCACCTGGTGGCGGGCTACCGTGGAGCCCCGGGAGGCTGCGGCGCCGACCAAACGGGCGGCCGCGGCTCGGCTGGCGCTTATCATGGCGGCTAGACGGTGGAGTACAGGACAGCAAACAGGCGCTCGGATAGCCGGGAACTGCGAGGCGCGGCGGAGGCAACTCTTCTGGAAACCTCCAACCACGTGGGGTAGGGGGCGGGAGTTGGTCACTGCGACCTGCAGGCCCGCTCTTAAACTGAAGCGCCGCCGGCGCCGCCTGACCAAAGACTATTTAACCGCCACTCCCGGAGTTACAGAGTACCAATAACGTGCTCCGAAACATGACGGTTGGAAAAAGTGTGTCCTCCCGTTCCGGTCGCGGTGGGTCTGGGCTCACTGACAGGCGACGGGGTTAAAAGGCGTATGAAGGCAGCACCTCGGACAGCCCCGGTCCTTCTTCGGAGGAAAGACTCAAGGTCACACGGGATAAAATTGAGAACCGATTACAGCTGTCTTGCGTCAGATACGTGGGAGGCGGAGCCTGTTGCGCCTGCGCAGCTGGCTTCCGGAGTATGGCCTCGAGCGCTTGTGCGCAAAGACCGCCGGAAAACGAGGGTGGAGACTAACTGCAGCACTCGTTGGATGCAGCAGTGTACGCCAGCTTGACCTGAGCGTAGCCCGGGGCGAGGGAGGACGCGTGTATATTCAGCGCTCGTGGAGCTTTTATCCCGTTCTTGCTCCTCCCGGAGGGCGCCATTTTGTCCCAGGTCTTTGTTCAGTGTAAACTCTAGGCTTAGAACCTTTGTTGTTCTGCCCCGCGGTTTGTCCGTTTTTTCGGGTGCCCGTTGCTATTGAAATAACTTGAATACACCTGGGTGTGCTGTCCTTAGACAAATTTGTTGTATTCAACCACAGGGATGTCGAGTTGCGAACTACTAAAGCAGCCTTTTCTTCACATAGAGCATTGAGTCGCGTTACGCTAGTCATCGTGCAAACCATCATGAGAAAAAATACCAGAGGTTGGGCTCTTCCTAGCCAAGCTGTACGGTATCTAACTGAGGCTCCTCTGGCCTTTCTCAAACCTTGGGCTGGTTGCTAGCAACAGAGGATGTGGGTTCTCTAACAAGGAGTTGTCAGTGGCCACTCTGCGCTGTGAGCCAGTTTCAGACGTTTAAAAAAAGAGTTCAACAAATATGCGCTGGAGTGCCTACCATGTGTTCTAGGTAGATTTTGGGAATACAGTGAAAGCTGTACGTGAACTTAACTGATGAGATGACAGATGAGATTGAGCATGATTTTGGAGATGAAGTAATTTGTCCTTAAAGCCCCCTTCCAAAAGAGAAAGATGCCCCAGTCCCCTACCTCTTCCTTCAGAAAAATCTGTTATTAAATGACCACCACTGTGTGAGGAATTGTGAAGGAATGTTGCGGGGGAAGGTTGGGAGAGGAAGAAGACAGAGTTTACATTTTGAGGGGGATGGAAGTTGGAGTAAAAAAATAAAAGTAAAACATAACACCGGTTATAAATTATACAGATTCTAAAAGGAATAAAAAGCCCACACAAACTTTCTTCCTTAAATGTTAACTACCTTGTATTATTATATTATTCTTAGTAGTCTACTTATAATAGCAGAGTATTTGAATTACGGTGTTGGCGGAGAATATTGAATATACCATGGACTGCCAGAAGAACTAACAAATCTGTCTTAGAAGAAGGACACCAGAATGCTCCTTACAAGAGAGAGTGTTGAGACTTTGTCTCACCTACTTTGGACATGTTATCAGGAGGGACCAGTCCCTGGAGAAGGACATCATGAGTGGTAAAGTAGAGGGTCAGCGAAAAAAGGGGAAGACCCTCGAGGAGATGAATTGACACCATGGCTGCAACAATGGGCTCAAGAATTACTATTGTGAGGATGGTGCAGGACTGGGCAGTGTTTCTTTCTATTGTACGTGCATAGGGTTGCTATGAGTGGGATCCTCCTGGATGGCACATAACAACAAGAACTACTCAACACTCTTTTCCATTTCTCTGTTGTTTAATTCCCTCAGAGGTAGGCTTGCTCTAGGTCAGAGGTACAGGCTAATGACTCCTATTTGTAGAGATTTATATTCTAAAACAAGGTTCTTGTTAGGTGCCTTCGAGTAGGTTCTGACTCATAGTGACCCTGTATACAATAGAATGAAACAGTGCTGAGTCCTGTACCATCCTCACAATTGCTATGTTTTGAGCCCACTGTTGCAGCCCTTGTGTCAATCCATCTTGCTGAGGGTCTTCCTCTTTTCTGCTCACCCTCTACTTTACAAGTATGATGTCCTTCTCCAGGGAGTGGTCCCTCCTGATAACATGTCCAAAGTATGTCAGACAAAGTCTCGGCATCCTCTATTCTAAGGAGCGTTCTGGCTGTACTTCTTCCAAGACAGATTTGTTTGTTCTTCTGGCAGTCGATGGTATATTCAGCATTCTTTGCCAAAAGACATCAATTCTTTGGTTGTCCTTATTCATTGCCCACCTTTCACATGCATATGAAGCAATTGAAAATACTGTGGCTTGGGTCAGGTGCACCTTAGTCCTCAAAGTGGCATCTTTGCTTTTAAACACTTTAAAGAGGTCTTTTGCAGCAGATTTCCTGAATGCATATGTCGTTTGATTTCTTGACTGCTGCTTCTATGGGTGTTGATTGTGCATCTAAGTAAAACGAAAACCTTGACAATGTCAGTCTTTTCTCCGTTTATCATGATGTTGCTTATTGGTCCAGTTGTGAGGATTTTTGTTTTCTTCATGTTGAGGTGTAATCCATACTGAAGGCTGTGGTCTTTGATCTTCATCAGTAAGTGCTTCAAGTCCTCTTCACTTTCAGCAAGCAAGGTTGTGTCATCTGCATATCGCAGGTTGTTAATAAGTCTTCCTCCAATCCTGATGTCCCACTCTTCTTCATATAGTCCATCTTCACAGATTATTTGTTCAGCATACAGATTGAATAAGTCTGGTGAAAGGATACAACCCTGACACACAATACACAGATGCAAAAGAACATAGGAATGACAAATAAATAATATTAAGCATTGAAATAAAATAGAAATCGAAAACTTTACATGAGAAAAACTTATATATGACAGGGAGGGAAAAGGACAGGTAGAAGTAGTTGAGTAACTACATTCTCCTCACTTTCCTCTTCCCTCAACTGGTTCTCTTAAGAGTTTGTTTTGCTTCCTCTTTCTCCATATATTAAAAAACCACAAAGTATTAATCCTGGAATCAAATAGTATTAGGTAAAGGGTGTTTGAGGCCACGGTTCTGTAGGTACATGGATGATTGATGTTCCTGGTGGTTTGCAGCCAGGGGCCTCGAAAACACTCTCCATGACCACAAGGGGGAGGTGGTAGCTGTAGCTATTCATTTCAAAGCACAAGCCTGAGAATGGGGGATTAATTATATTCACCTGTATGAAGGACAGGCTTCTGGACTGCCTTTCAAATTAACATAACCTACAGCCTGAAGGCTTAAAGGAATGAGCCTGAGTCTAAAAAATAAGGGAAATAAGGGTGCAAATGAATAAGAACGGACAAATCCAGAGCCAGGCGGTATAATTCTTCATCATACTGCACAGTACTATATTTCAGTTCTCTGTTGTCATCTCAGTGTCACACTGGGAAGGGAAGGAGCTGGCACATAATTTCCATGTGTGTAAATGCTTACCAAACAACAGGTGACTGTCAATCCCTGTGAGTACTATGTTTTTGATGATACTTTAACTGGCGTGGTTTTTATTTTTGTATATTTGAAGACAAGTAACAGTTTCAGGTTTTAAGAATTTAACTCCCAGCCATATAATAAGAATTGTCATTAGGATAGTAATCGCTAACAGTTGTGGAGTGTTTACTTGGGTGCCACACACTGTCCATTGGTGCTTTATATACATTATCTAATGGAATGCTCACAACAGTGGTCTCAGGTAAATATTATTGGTATTCCCATTTTGCAGATGTGGAAATTGAGGCTTAGTGTGGTTAAGTATGTTGCATGGGTCACATAGCAATTGACTGTCAAAGCCAGAATTTGAAGCTAGGCTATCTGACCCCAGAACCTACATTGCTAACCACTATGCTCTGCTGCCTCATAACCAGACTGGGTTCTGGTATTTTATCTCGGCTTCCACATAAAAAGATGAGTTTTATAGTGCGGGTCCAATCCATTATTAACAGCAGTTATTATAGGCAATGGAAGAAAAATGTTAGAAAATACTTTTTAAATTTTTTGTGTAGTTTGGGTTCCAGGACAACTATAAAGAAAGCTCAATCTGTAAAATAACTCATAAAATCAAGTTTGTATTTTTAAAGCAAAGTCTCATTACACTGATGACTCAAAACACTTTTTATTCTGTCTCCCCAAAGGTGAATATCATGCTGTGGCAACTTCCATCTTCAGGAAATAAAAATGTGACATGCTGCAGGGATGTGTTACTTTTGTACTCCTTGGAATTTTTCATGTACCTGCAGCAGATCTCAGGAGACAGTTCCCACTTTCCCCTTTGGCGTTAGCTGCACTGTATTGGAGTACATGACATCGTGTCGCTCCACTTCAGTCTGATTCAACAGAGCTTGCCCCAGTGACGCATAGGAAGTATTATGTCAGGTGATGTCTCTCTCCCCAGGGGTGGTGACAATTAGCAGATTTCACCTTATACTGAATACCTGGTAACTCACCAACCTGCCCTCCTTCTGATAGGAGAAAAGAGAAATAGAGGATGGCCTTGAAAGAAAAAGTAAGGCAGCAATAAATCGAAATAAGGTGTCACTTTGATTAGATAGGGCATTTACATCCAGCGATAATGCAGTCTCATTGCACAGGGTAGAAAGCAGTCAGTTAACCTTGCTGTGAATTCTCATCCAGGTTTGGAAAACGGCTGGCTCTTGGATAGGTCAATGACCCTGTGCAGGAAACCCTTATTTGGGGAGGGGGTGGGACTGACAAAACCAGAGCTTTGTTCTTCATGAAAATCCATTTAATATTTAATTCTTAAGGATATAGGAGCCTTTCCAGAATTTTGTAGTTTAAAGGGCCAGAATTTTAACTTACTCTTGACTAGCATACTATTGTGGAAGGAACGCTGAATTAAGAGTTAAGCCTGAACTTGGGTTCTAGAAGCATAAAAAGGACCTTAAAGCCCAACCTTTCTTTTAATAGGTGAGGAACAGAGAACATCAGTGAATTGCCCAAGGTCACACAGCTAGTTGTAGCTTCTGCTGTACAGGCTCTTTTTATTTTTAATTTAGTATGGTTTTTAGAAATCGTCCACACGATTTCAGAATAAATTTTCAGTCTGTACAGGACCTTTTTCAATTGCTTTGCAGACAACTCTAGCTCCTATACTCCCTTTCTCCTATCTC